TCAAAAAAGATACTCAATATTGAAACAACAAATGCAAGAATACCCAGGAGTGGACAGTGCAGAAACCACAGAACAGAAGGATGCAGAAACAGTATGCATGACATGAGGCCAATCCTAGGTTTCTGGTCTGGAAGACAGACAATGCGGTCTCTGTACGAATCCAAAAAGAGGCTTTTGTGTTCTATCTTTTGGGAGATGAAAGATATGATAATTGTTCTAAATTTCACCTGAAAGAAAAAATGGAAAGCTGGGTCAAAATGATTTTTCAGTAGAAAAATCCCAAAGGAAGCCTTCCGTCGGCAGATAGGAAAATGTAATGCAGAGATTTATTTACTGCCTGGGATCTTTAAGGCAAAAGTCCTTTTAAAAGGTTAGGTTAGAAACAACATCAAAAAATATGTTGTGTGTGCCAGGAAGGGCATGGGAAGCTTCCTGTTTCTTCTTTCTAATCCCAGTTGGCAGAAACAGCATGTTTTAATGGAGAAAAATATGATGTGGTCTCTGGTCTCGATGTAGACTGCTAATGTAGCAACACAGAGGACTCCTGATGTTTACATCTCATCATTCTAGTGACATTTCTGATTGCTCCATTATTTTTAGGCCACCTGTACCTTTTCACATGTCTATTCAAAGGAAAACATTTCTTAGGGGTTTCCTCAAGGTTTTGCAGAAGTATATTTTGTTTTTTTTTTAAGTTAGATCCCACCTTTTTTGAGAAGACTTATAAAAACGTGTGAACACTGAGACTTATCTGATTGCTAGATAAAATACTTGAAGTGAATAAAATCTTGTAGTTTTAAGAATAGGTTTGGGCATGGTGGCTCGTGCCTGTAATCCTAGCACTTTGGGAGGCTAAGGTGGGCGGATCACTTGAGCCCAGGAGTTGGAGACCAGCCTGGGCAACATGGTGAAACCCCATCTCTACAAATAATACAAAAACAACCAGCTGGGTGTGGTGGCACGTGCCTGTAGTCCCAGCCCCTTGGGAGGCTGAGGTGGGAGGATCACCTATGCCTGGGAGGCAGAGGTTGCAGTGAGCTGAGATGGCACCACTGCACTCCAGCCTGGGTGACAGAGCAAGATCCTGTAAATAAATTAATAAATCAAATATATAATTGAAAGGATCGACCAGTACCTTTGGTTGCTAGCCAAATAAATGAGTTAACATTCAGTTAACCATAAAATACAGGTGATCACAATCTCTTCCCTTGTGGACTCATTTTAGTTAGCTGGAAATCTGTTTTCTTTGGAGGATGTAGAGGAGGCGGTGATGACGTGATCGCTGATGTTTGGTGAGCTCTTATTCTGTGACAGCCATGGTTCTGAGAACTTCCTGCTTCTGGATTAGTTCCTACTGCAAACCTGTGAGTTCTCTCCATTTCAGAAATGGGGAAACTGAGTCATAGTGGGTTTGAGCGGCCTGCCAGGTCACAGAACTAGGAAGCGGCAGGCCCCAGATTTGAATCCAGACATCCTGACTCCAGAGCTGTGTCCTGCGTTTCCTCTCTGTTTAATAAGTAACGTTTGTCTCTGTTGATTATCTGATTTTTTTCTTCAGTCTCTAGTATTGACCTAGAGATGGCTCTGGGATGTGATTGAATACTGACCCCAGAAGGGATGCCCGGAAATGGCCCAGCACTGTCACCTTACCTCCTGTTATCCGTCCTATGAAGCCGGTGGTCGTGTCACCTTTCCCATTCAGGTGGCATTGCTGGTCATGGGAATGGAACTCCCCGCTGCTCCCTCCCTTCTGCTCCCTGGTCTTCCCGGTGACTGACCAGCCACGGGTCCGCATCTGGGGTGACCCAGGCGGTGCCTTCACTCTGTGTGGAGCTTGGCTCCCTTTGGCACAGTGAGGAGCTGAGGGAGGCGGTTCTGCGGCTCCTCCAGCTCTGAGGCCTCCCTTTCTTCTATGACTTCTCCACCTGCTGTTTGCTAGGAAGCACCGTGTGAATCACCCTCAGGCCCAGGCCCCGGGCCCGGCAGGCTCCTGCACAGGCCTGGCTTCTGGGAACATCCTGACAGTGCCTCATTTATGGGGCTGCACAGAGCGGTGGCCTTGTGCCCGCAGTGCTGTATCACGGCAGATTGTTCAGAAATTCCATTAGGATAATCTATCCCAGACGGAGAGCCTTGCCTTGGGGCCTGCTCAGGACACCGGGTGGCTCATTAGGGCCTGGTGCCTGGCCAGAGGCCACATTACAGCCAGCTTCTGTGCTGTAGATTTGTCTTGGGCTCCTTAATGAGGCCAGGGACGTGGGTTTTCTTGCACTTTGGCTTATTTTCCTGCCTAAAGGGCCACCAACCTGTGGTGCTATGTGAAATGCCCACAATAGCCCATGACTCAGGGGATTGGCATTTCTCACAGTCCCTGAGGCTTGGGGGCAGATTTCCTCCAACCGCTCTCAAAATAACCAGGTTTGATTGCAGCCTCAGAGAACAGTCTACCCATTTCTTAAAGTGGTACAAACCTATTCCTTAAAAATGTCCCTCGCAGAGCTTTAGAGGAAATCGTAGTTTCTGGCTTCTCCTCAGAGTCTTGTTGGTGACTTCGCCCTGTAGTCCTGGGGCTGTGCGGAAGGCTGGTGGCTGCCATTGGGCTGGGTGTGCCACCCTAAGCATGAACTCAATGGCCAATGCCCAGCCGGGTGCTCACAGAGAGTAAAGGTGACATGTGTCCCTGCCTGCTAGGATCCAGCCATTGAGAGGACACAGATGAGGGACAGCTCCTTCTCCAGCAGGAGCTTCTTACTCTCATAGGAGAGCTCTGCAGGGCCATACTGGATGAAATCACAAAGAGAATTTACTTTCATTCATATGGCCCGGAGGGTCTATCTGCAGGATTTATGCTCTCTGAAATTTGTATGCAATACCATGGTCTCTAGCCTCACTGGGAGGCTTAGCGATATCACAGGGGAGGGGGCTGAGAGCTCAGGCTGCCTGGGTTTGCATTTTTCTCTTTATTGGTGAGCTGTGTGCCCTTGACCAAGATGCTATCTCTGCGCCCCGGTCTTCTCACCTATAGAGCGAGGATGCGGCCACAGGCCCTGGGTTGGGGGTGGCTTCGACTGTAAGTACAGACATGAGAGTGACCACAATGTATGGTGCTCAGTGTCAGCCAGGGATTGTTCAGGCCTAGAAAGGGGAGGCTGTGGGGCTGTATCTTGTCTCCTGAACCAGGCCAGAAGCCCCACGCAGGGCTGGTGCCTGTCTCTTGTACCTCAGAGTCTTGAACTCTAGGAAGGTTTGGTGATGCTTTGGAATTCTCCTGGAAGAGGAGCAGAACCATTCCCCTTGGAGGGGTGGGGAAGACATATTTTTCCCTGGACAGCAACATACCTTCTGTTCTAACTTGGGCAGCTCAAGGGAGAGGCCCCGTGGTACCCAAGGTTGGCAGCTAAGCCAGGCCGGGAGGATCTGAACTGGAACCTAGTCTTTCTCCCCACACCCTACTCTAGCTCCTCTGCTGTAGGACGCCACCCCTTCTGCTGCCGTCATCCTGGGGTGCAGACCCTTGGAGCCTAGCTTTATCCTGAATGTTCCTCTGATTATATAGACCTCAGAACTTTCTCAGCAGTGAAAGCTGTTTGCGTTCCTGGAACCTAAAATGCTTGGTCATGGGGGTGTGGGATTAATGGGTTGGTGTCCTGTTTCCTGGCTTCTGCCCTGAGCCAAGGGCTGGGGCTCTGGACTCAGGCTCCTGCCCATCCCCCATCCACACACCAGCACTCTGCAGTCACCGCTCCGGGGAGGGCCCGCCGTGTGCACCTTCGGGAGAGCGCCTCATGCCTTCCTTGCTTTATTCCAGCTGCCCACAGGGTTCTCATGTTCATGGGGCTCACCATGTTTAACTAGAGGGATATACAACTCGGTGCAGTTTGTCCAAGCTGCCAAGTCCCCGCTTGCGGGTGGCGTCCTGCTCCATTTTTCTGCCCAGCTCTCAGCCATAAGATGGGCGTTTCTCAGTGGGCTCTGGTTCTGGATGCCTTTTGCCGTGTGCCGGGCATTTCTTGGAACCGGAGTTAGTGACTTCACATGTTGCTCTAGCAACTGAGAAACTGTTACACCCAGAGCCGCCAGCAGCCCAGGGGGTCTTCGTGAGTGACTGGCTGACAGGCATCCCGGTGCTAAGCCCCTCACCAGCAGGCTGGGTCTGCTGGGACCACTCTGTCCTCAGCTCTGGGATCTGAAGCAGTAGACATGAACAACCTGATGAAACCTCTTATCATTTTAGAACTTTGGAGCAGACGTAGTCAAAAAAATCACCTCACTGGGCACTTCTCACCATTTTATTAAAGGAGGTAACAGGATGCCAGTTTGGATGAAGTGAGGCCCCTGGGACTGGCATTGGGAGGGTGCTACTGACGGGGCGCTTTAGCACTGCCTTTTCCATCTGCCTGCCTTCTGCTGCTTTTTGTCATCTCATCTCCAGGATGACCCCCTGGAAGGCAGTTTGAAACCGCAGATGCAGTTTGGCTGCCTTACAAGTGTCAGTCCCTGCTGTGCTCCTGGTCAGCCCTCTGCAAGCTGCCCCCCAAGCTGTGACTCCAGGAAGACCCCAGTGGGGGGTATAGCTGCTCTGGGGCCCTCTAGCCTGGGGTGACAGGCCATGCCTGGGGCCCACATTTCTCCAGTGCCCCCATGCTCCTGCTCCTCTTCACCCTGGACTGAGAAAGCTTTCTAGAAGGGCTTGGCTCGCCAGTACTGTTGAAGCCCTAGCCTGATCATTTTGTTCATTGGGCTAGTAGGGGTTGAGCGCCATGCTGGGTGCCAGGGATGTGGGCAGTGAGCAGAGCAGGCGGCCTGGCCCAGGTCTGCTGAGGCTGGTGGGTGGGCTTGCAAGCCCTGTGGTGCAGCCCTGCCCAAACCGCCTCTTCAGGTAGAAGTCCTAAAACATGTGACACTATGGTCATTGGCACATACCACATAATACATTTTATTAGAGGCACTTCTTACTCTTTCATTTCCTAATGAATTATGTTTTAAAATTATTTTTACAGGGCCTTATTGGAAGGAGAAAGTAATCCAGAGATAGTGGTCTGGACTGAGCACATTGAAAACATGCCATCAGGTAAATAAAAGCTAATGATTTAACTTAGCTTTAAGCATCTGAACTGTCTATTCTGTGGCTAGATAGTAAAGCACCATCATCTGGAAGAACGGGTTAGATATGGTGTTTAGATAACAGGAGTTCATCTCTCATTTAAGTACCAAATAGATTTTAGTTTAGTGTGACATAATTTCAGTTATGTGAAGGAGAATGTTTGGGAAGGTGCTTGATAAACTTGGTCCTCT